AGCAGTGAGGAGGAGTGGGGGAGCAGTGAGGAGCAGTGAGGACACGTGGGGAGCAGTGAGGAGCAGTAGGGAGCAGTGAGGAAGAGTGGGGACACATGGGGAGATGTGGGAAGCAGTGAGGAGGAGTGGGGGAGCAGTGAGGAGGAGTGGGGGAGCAGTGAGGACATGTGGGGAGACGTGGGCAGCAGTGAGTTAAAGTGGGGAGCTGAAAGTTTTGTAAATATATCAAAGTTGCTGGACTGCATTTTTCCAACTGATCTGTCTTACTGCACTTGGAGCCACATTGTTTCATTCTGGCTAGAAACAAGTAAGACAAACTCAAAAAGCAGGAATGTGTACTTCAGTTATTGGGAAACCTGCAGATGCTGCCTGTGTTTTAAGAGTCTCTGTAAACAGACCTGAATGATCTCCAGAACCCTCAATGAACACTGGGGCACATCTGGAACAGCAGAATGAACTTCAGAAGACACAGTGAAGACCGGGGCACATCTGGAACAGCTGAATGAACTTCAGAAGACACAGCGAAGATGAGACAGTTCAGTACTGGACTGGAATAGTTCCCGAACATTTCCTTGTAGTACTCACACTGTCTTATAAAGTACCTTCCCTGCGGTGTGGACTGGCTCTGGAGCAGATGGTTGAAAAGGAGAGCGGTGTGAGACAAAGACATGTCCCTCATCCGCCCTTTTCTGGAGGAAGACAATGTCCCTCCCTGCCTAGAGGAACAGGAATCAGAGGATCCTGGGAAATGGGGAAGGAGAAAACTCGCTCCTGACTGTCCATCTTTTACTTCTGTACCTGTAGCAGATCCTCCTAACAAGGCAGCTTGGTCTGGAGGAGCCTACGTACGTAAAACCTATCAGGGAAAGGGGTTAGCTGTCCGAGGCCTGACCAGCTGTTTCGAGACTTCCTTCCCTGTTTCGGTCCTCAATCCTTCACCCTTTCCACTTTCCATTATAATACAACCCTGGTCTAACTGGCTGATCCTGTTTGTCCAGGCACACATATCAAACCTGCAATTCTTCTGCCCCTGACACAGCAGCAGCCAGTATGCTGATATCAATAATAATTCCTTACACTGGACACTCCCCTCAAAGCGCTTTACAGGTCATGGGGAATCCCCTCCACCGACACCAATATTCAGCCTTACCTGTATGATGCGACCACACATCAGCTATCAGTGGGGAGGAGAGCAGAGTAAATTCGTACTGTACTTTAAGCTTCACCAAAAACCCCATGGGGTTTGTCTCAGTACCTGCAGTTAGTTTACACCACTCACTTTCTGACCATGAGACCTAATCACTTCAGCCCAGCATTCAGATCAGAGCCCCTTCTTTCTCAGCTCCCCTCTTGTGCAGTGAGAAATCAGCTCGCTAACAGCTGGAGCCTGATCCCTCTAATACTCCCGACAGGAAGGTGAGCCCTGATTTATTCCTCTCTCCTGGTCTCTGGAGTCATTCTATGCTGCCCTCTAGTGGTCTTTTCTTGTAGCTATACTCCATGTCCCTTTGTTATGTTACACTAATCATACAAGGACTGTCTTCCTCTTTTTTTGGTCCCTACACTGCGCTCTATTCCCTGGTCTATTCCCAAAGCTGTGCTCTACAATTCAATTCAAGGTGCTTTATTGGCGTGACCGATGAGTACAATCAGTGTTGCCGTTGTTAGGTGTTTTTCTCTGCACACGGAGGATGTTTCTACAGATCTCCATGTGCAGAGTTTCTGTGGGGTGTTTGTCCCATTGGGTGTAATCCTGGTCTGTGAGGGGACCCCACACTTCACTGCCGTATAGGGCAATGGGTTGGATTACACTTTCAAATATTTGGAGCCAGATTCTTGTTGGTGGGTTGATGTTGAAGAGCCTCCTTCTTATTGCTTAGAAAGCCCTGAGTGCCTTCTCCCTCAGTGCCTTCACTGCCAGGTCAAAACTCCCAGAAGAGCTGATGGTGAGACCAAGATATGTGTAGCTGGATGTGTGCTCCAATGTGTTGCTGTTGAGTGTGAATTTGTACCTGTTTTCCTGAGGTCTGGCTTTCTTCTTGTTCAGATTGACTGTCAGCACCCAGGTCTGACAGTACTGCTCCAGCAGTACTGGAGCCTATTTTCTGTCCAAATAGGCTCTGCTGCAGCCCCTGTTCTGTGGGCGACAGCAGGACCAGGTCATCTTCATAGAGCAGGAACTTGATTTCTGTGAAATGTAATGTGAGACCAGGAGCTTCAGACTGCTCCAACATTCCTGATAAA